ATACATTGACCAATGGAACAGAATTGAGAATCCAGACGTAAATCCATCCACCTACGGTCACCTGACCTTCAACAAGGGCCCAAAGTCCATCAAATGGGGAAAAGACGGTCTTGTTAACAAATAGTGCTGGCAAAACTGGATGTCCAGCTGCAAAAACATGAAATAGGATATCTCATACCATATACAAAAACTAATTCAAAATCGTCAAAGACCTAAATATAAGGCCAAAAACTATAAAGTTCATAGAACAAAAAATAAGATCAATGCTACAGGCCCTAATACACAGCATTAACCGGATACAAAGCACAACCAACAACACACAAACTACAGAAGATAAGCGAGAAAACTGTGATCTTCAAAAAAAATACACACGCTCATTAGAAGACTTCACCAAAAGATAAAAACAAAACCTACAGACTGGGAAAAAAATTTTGGACATTACATGTCAGACAAAAATCTAATCTCTAAAATCTGCAAGAAAATCCAATACCTCTAAAACAAATAGACAAATAATCCTATTAAAAAATGAGCAAAAGAAATGAACAGACACTTCACCAAAGAAGACATTCAAGCGGCCAACAGATACATGAGGAAATGCTCCCGATCACTAGCCATTAGAGAAATGCAAATTAAAACCACAATGAGATACCATTTCAACCCGGCATTACTGGCACGAATCAAAAAAATGAAAATAACAAATGCTGGAGAGGCAGTGGGGAGATCGGAACTCTTATGCACTGCTGGTGGGAATGCAAAAATGATACAACCATTTTGGAAAATGATACGGCACTTCCTTAGAAAGCTACAAACACCGTAAGATCCAGTAAACCCACTGCTGGGACTATAACCTAGACAAATAAGAGCTGTCACACAAATAGACACATGCATACCCGTGTTCACTGAAGCATTGTTCACAACAGCAAAAAGATGGAAACAACCTAGAAACCCATCAACACATGAATGGATAAACTATGGTGCACACACACAATTGAGTATTATGCAAACATAAAGAACAATGATGTATCTGTGAAGCATCTCATAACATGAATGAAACTGGAGGACATTATGCTGAGTGAAATAAGTCAATCACAAAAGGACAAATACTGTATAAGACCTCTACTGTAAAAACTCATGCAAAAGTTTACACACAAAGAGGAACAATCTGGTTACAAGGGATGGGGGTGGTGGGGGAAAATAAATAGAAAATAGATAAGTGGTAACTTTGGTGAAAAATAAGACAGTACACAGTACTGGGGAAACCAGCACAACTTGTCCAAGGCAAGGTCATGGAAGCTCCCTAGACACATCCAAACTCCCTGAGGGACTGAACTGCTGGGCGGAGGGCTGTGGGGACCATGGTCTTGGCGAACATCTAGCTCAA